TTTATATTATTTATATACTACAGTCTAGTATCTGACAAATTCCTCGACTCGCAGTTTATCCTGTCCCACCTCCCTCCCTCTGGCAACCAACCACAAGTCTGTATTCTATGTCTGTGAGTCTGTTTCTAATTCATATGTAAGTTCATTTGTCACTTTTTGTTTTAGATTTCAGATATGAGTGATATCATATGGTATTTTTCTTTCTCTTTCTGGCTTACTTCACTTAGAATGACATTCTCCAGGGCCAACCATGTTGCTGCAGATGGCATTATTTTATCATTTTTTATGGCTGAATAATATCCCATTGTATAAATACACCACAATTTCTTTATCCAGTCATCTGTCGATGGACATTTAGGCTGTTTCCATGTTTTGGCTATTGTAAATAGTGCTGTTATGAACATCGGGGTGCAGGTGTCTTTTTGAATTAGGGTTCCCTCTGGATATATGTATGGCAGGGGTCTTGATGAGTGTCATTTCCTTTTCCCTAAACCCCAGCACATAAATTTGAGTTTATGGGTCAATAGTCACATGAATACATTCAGCCAGACCTATGGTGGGATCTATGATCTTTTCAAGCTCCATGTATGGATAAAGTGAGCAAAATCACCTTGCTAATTACGCAGGATGTAGAGGGAGACGGGGTACAGCAGAAATGTGGAATAGGGTAAAAGATCCCAATGACAGTTCTCAGGAGGAAGAGAAAGAAATACAAAGCAAAAAACTCCCAGGCTGACTCTACTAAGAGCACTTTGGCCAAACCTTTGCCCTTACTTTTCTCTCCCCACAACCAACAAACGAGAAATGGGGGAGGGAGTGGCATGTCTCCAAAAACAGATCTTTCCTGCCACCCACAGCACAAGAGGCATGACTGTACTTTCAGAGCTTGCCTGAATCAGAGCAGAGGGGGTTCTGTCACTGAGTGGTGACTCACCTGTGAGATCATGTGATTATTCAAGGGTGGCTGTTGCTGAGGCGTGGGTGGGAGAGCAGGAAGCTGCTGCTGCTGCTGCTGCTGCTGCTGCTGCTGCTGCTGCTGCTGCTGCTGCTGCTGCTGCTGCTGCTGGGCAGTACAAGGGAGAAGGCCCCGGACAGACTGGGATGAGGTGACCTGGTTGCACACTTCTGGGGCACCAAGTGCCATACCTGAGGCAAAAAAGACCCAGCAAGAGCTGTAAAGCACAAGCCATGAACATATCACCCCTGGAGGGCCCAGTGCAGGACTGTAGTCTTTCCTTGCTGTTTTCCTTGTCATTCTTCTCTGTCCATTCCCGTACTGTCTTGGGAAAATCCAAGCATGAGCACAGATGCATTTCAGTTGTCCTGCTGATGGAAGCCCTCATCTTAGCAGGGTTTTGCTCTGTAGGGACAGTAACTACCTTGACTGTCAACGTTTAATTTTGGAACTGAACAAAATGTGAGGCTGCTGAGGCACCTTCTGTGAGTGCTTAGAATCTGGCCATCATGATTAGACAGCTGAAAACACGAATGTTTGCTTCCAGGGAAGGTACAGCTTCCTAGTCCTTAAGAGACCTATTTTCTCTCTGATTTCTTCTCAGCTTGCAGCATCTCATAAAGGTTGCTGAGAAGGCAGCCTCCAAGCACACGCCTGTGCACACACATACTCACAACCTTCATCCAACTATTTTCCTCATTTCCAGGCTCTCTGAGTCATGCATGCATTTACACAAAATACTTTTACTGAATGTCTACTATGTGCAGGTATTGTATAATGGACAAAAAAGACATAAAGGTAAAGGGAACATAGTCCTTGCCCTTGACCAGCACAGCATCTTCCAATGGGAGATGGACATCCACACGATGATTACCATGTGATAAGGATAAGGGATGCATCAATGATATGAATAAAGCTGTATAAAAGCAAAGATGAGGAAGCATAACTCTGGGCGATTTATAGGGAAAGATTTAAAGAGGAAGTGGCAGGTGAGATAGATTTGAAGGATGAATAGAAGGCTTGTCAGACCAAGAGGGGACAAAGCTAATGCCATATTCAAGAAATGGCTGGAGGGCCGGAGGGGGATGGATATCTGGAAATGATTCTGAGATGGCAGACTAGAGTCAGGAAGTTATGCTATATTATGTAGTTTGGACTTTATTATGAGGGAATGAAGAAACATGAATATTTTTAAAAGGACTGACATGATTAGATCTATGTTTTAGATTAATAAATTGGCTCTAAAAGGACTGAGGACGGAGCACGGAAACCAGCTTGGATAAAGGCAGAGGCAGTGGGGTTAGAAAGGAGGTAACAGAAGGGCAACAGAGACCTAACAGAGACAAAATTTTCACCACTACTGATGCCTTTTGAGGACAAGACCTACAAAACCTCTGGGATGAAAGTCAGCTAATTCTTCAGAGGCAGGAGGACGGTGAAATAGAGGCTCAGTGGGTGTAGAGAGCTAAGTACCCCTCCGCTCAGAGTGCAGCAGGAATCAATGGAGAAGGTTACACAGCAGCTCAGGAGAGCTGAAGGTGGCGATGGGGCTCGCATGTGGAACATATGCTCCTTCTCAGTGACTCGGCTCCAGAGAAGCAGCAGCAGCAGTATCTCTTGACGTTTTAGCCTACTGGCTATTACCAGTCAAGTACAAAATTACAAACACTAAGTGTTCCCTTTCCCTCGGCCCTACCAGCCCTCTTTACAATCTCAGAGGCCACAAAATGAAAGCAGCTATTATCATTTTAGTATATAACCTGAACCTGTGCTGATAGGCATGTTCCTATCAGAAATCATAAAATAATCTAATCCTAGTCTTTTTTCTTTTCTTTTTTTCCCCCCCAATTAAGAAAGCAGGTTTCAAAGAAAATCAGTGACAGAACTTAAAAGGACAACAGATCCAAGAAATCAAATTTCCCCTCACCTGGCTGTGTTAGGTTTCCAAGGCACTATACTGGGACAAGTGTTTTGTTAAAAGTCAGTCATGTTCTGCAGAAGATAAGCAAGAAGTGACAGAAGTGGAGAAGCTGTGGTACCTGGCCTGGAGATCCTTCCTGCACTGCCACCTTTACTACTCCCAATGCTGTCACCCCGGGTGAGGATAGAGATTCCACTGAAGCTGCTGGCTTTGGTGACAGGGGGCCGCATGCTCCGGACGGAGCCGTCAGAGTCCGTGCTGCTCCAGGGCCGAGGCTCCAGGGACTTGAGCTCGCTGTCTGTGCTGCTCTGGCGGCTGCTTGAGGTGCGGCTCAGCCCCTCGCGGTTCCCCCTGCAGAGACCACAGTGGTCAGAGCACCCCCCACCTACCACTTCGACAGAAGGGCTAGGGGAGAGTTCATTTCTGTTCTTTCAATAACAAAGAAGGGGTGAGGGTTGGGGGTTGGGGGACGGACACTGACTTCTTGTTAGTTGGCTGGCCAACCAAGACTCGATGGGAACAGACAGAACAAGATCCAGTACAATAACAAAGAGCACAAAGGCAAATCTGGAAGACAGTGCACTGGCAACTAATTCCATACATCAGACCAGAGGTGGATGGGAAACCACATACATGATGCTGAGATTGGCTGTGGTCTCTTCCCCCCGGCCCTGCAGGGGTCCCACACATGCAGGAAATAGTGGGGAGCAGAGGGTTAACCAGTTCCTTCTGCAAGTTCTTAAAACAAAAGGACTTCTAGAAGTTACTATTGCTAGAAGGCAGGAGTACCCAATGACATGGATAAACCCCACAACAAGTCTTCCACCTAACACATGTCAAAGCCAGCAGAGGTGCTGCCTATGGCCACTTTTCAGGGGTGGGAAGAGGAGTACAGTGGACCAGTGGGAGCTCTGGAAAACTCAGTCTGATAGTCTGGAATCGACCCAACCTGTTTTGTGGGATTTTTGTGTTGGTCTCTGGGAACAACTGGTTCCAGGGTCTCAAAGGCTGATGTCCTCAGCATGATCAAGCGAATAATGCCTTTAGGACTCAGGCTGGCAAGGAGCAGGGAACTGGCTGTGCCTGGGTGCCTCCACGTTAATAACCCTACGGCCCCAGGAAAGGCATAAGGCTGCTGCGAAAAGGGACTCATCCTCTCTTATTCGCTCTGGAAACATCAGGGTTGTGCTGATGCTATAATCACTATCTGGGATTATAAACAGCTGTATTCCTCAAGATAGATGTGGTTAGCCTGAAAACCCCGTCTCGTCCAACTGTTACTGCTTCTAAATCAGTAAGTGACGCAGAACCAGGAATTTTCCTTTCACACTCCCACCCCCAACAACTAATGACCTAAGGAGACCAAATGACAACAATTAAAAAGACTTCTATATTTACACTGGGGAGCAATTGAGCAAAAATCACAGCAGCGTGGATTCTTTCCTTTTCACCACCACCCCACCCAAAGCAAATAAAAAACCCTATCCCGGTCCCCCTTAGCTTCAAAGACAGCAGGCTCAGAGCTATTCTAACAAAGAAAGGTGTTTTTCTTAAGGGGGTCATATTAAAGAAAATACCTTCCTTTATTAGAGTATCTATTCCAAACGTATTGCAGGGAAAACAGGCAAACTATATGCTAGGTTTACTATTTTAGTTTTTAGCCAAGCCAATCATGGTGGGCTAAGAACATACAAGAACAGCTGGTTAGGGACATGCAAATTCTCTGAATCCCAAGTACATGTATATGTAACCTCAAGGCTTCTCTCTATATAGTCAGAACAGAGGACTGGAAAATACTCCTCTTTCCCCAAGACTTTACCCCTTTCTCTTGGGGATGTCAGAAGCAGAATGAGAAATAAGTATAAATCAGGGACTCTCCAGGAATAGAACCAGACTCGAAGTGAGAGCCAGCAGCTGTGTCTCAATGGATAAATGCAAGTCTACTGAGAGCACTCAATGAAACTGTGCGTGGTTGCGGGATACCGGGACAGAGCAGTGGCAACGGACGAGGCTGCTCATTAAGACATTTCAGCTTGAATTTTGCAAGATGAGCCCTAATGGCCTTTTATACCTGAATCAAACACTATACTGTTAGGACAATGCTGTCATTTGTTTTCTTTTTCTACCAGAGGTAGATAGTGAATGAGTCAACTTTAAACCAGACACCCTGGGAAACTTGAGCCAAAGTGGTAGTACTTCTGTAGTACTCCAGTTCCCTCAAGACAGTGATGGCCAAGTGTTCAAATGCGGATCGTCTGATGATCTTCTGACTAACCTGGGTTAGTACGCTACATCCCTGAGAGTCAGAGAATCTAAGTTGAGTCTTCTCCAGGAAAGATCAGTTTTCCCTCTCTACAACTAAACCTACTCTCTATTCATGTCTTTGTACTTCACTAAAAATATACAGTAACTAGGGAAAGTTACCAGACATAATTCTGAGCAATGGATTGGACTGTGTGTGTGCTGGAGAGACGGGGATGAAGGACAGGCAACATTCGTACTCCCCAGTCCTGTGAAATCAGAGCTGACTTAGCTTATACAAGTAAACTTAGTGCTGGTGAAACGTCCATTTTACTGGGTCTGGAGAGTGGGTAGAGAGGGCTGTGGGAGAGGCGGCAATAAGTGCCAGTGAGCCGCAGTGTGGCTTATGTATCAGTGGGGTGGAATCTTCCAAAGAACTGGGAAGTTGCCACAGTTACTGCCAACGTGGATGACGGAATCTGGGTATTAATACTTGTTTCACACACCTGGGAAGAAAGGTTTAAAGCAGTTAGAAAAGATCAGCTTCTAATCACTGGAGTTCTGGACTAGTACCCAAACAGAGGAAGAAGTTACCCCCTTAAAAGTCCATGTAACTGCATTTTAGGTGACCTAGATCGTTAGTCAAAACTCAGTATGGAAAGCAGCAGCTTAAAAGGAGGTCTGGATAGGAGAGGGCTGCACCTGCTCACGAGGTCCTTCACACTATTACCTGTAGCGTTTGATGTAGTTTGATGCTTCACGGCATTAATAAGGGCCTCACTCTAGCAGTGAATCAGTCAGGCTCTGAACAGAATCCTACTCAGAGAGGAAGGGGTGATGTCTATGGAGGGCTGGTGTGGTGCGGTGAAAAAAACACTGGACAAATAGTCCTAGTTTTGCTACTAACAGTCATATAAACTTGCTTTTATTTTCTTACATGTAAACCAGCTTATGAAATTATGACATTGAGAAAACTCAATTAGATACAGTATACTTTGGCAACCATAAAGCACTGTGCATTAAGTCACACACAGGAAGCAGTTTAAAGCTTCTGGTTATTACAGGCATTCTAGGATGATTTATGGAGCAGGATTTTTTTTTAAAGGGGGACTTTATCTATCTTGACCACCACCAACAATGCAGAGCCCTCTCTGCCTGGGGTTTTCAGATGAACCACAGGGTGGACTGGTCTAGGAAAAAGAGTTCAGAGATGTGGAAAGGGAGATAAATTCTTCATCCCAAGAAAGGGAAGTCTTGCTATCCCAATTTCCACATGGTTTGAGTAGCTTTAGAAAGGACGATAGGGAAGGGACAACTAAAGTACTGGGAATGAGAGCCCTAACTAATATGCATTAGTTCCCATCAAGCTTAGGACTAAAAAAGAGAGAAGTCCTTTGAAAAGGGTGACACCTGAATCCTAGTATTAAATATTCAGGTTTTTTGTACTGTATAGTTTTTCTGTTGGTAAAATGGTAAGAATATACTTAAAAGGAATTGGTGGCAGGGTATGATTCTGAAGTGCTTCTCTCACCACCACCTTGTGTAAATTGTCTGGGGTGGGACTGAGACACTGAAATGAAAGGGAGATTCTCATGACCGCTTTGTGGAAAATGGAGAACATTAGGCACTGGAGAAACAGCTTTCACCAACATTAGGAGGAAGCAATGGACAATCATAAAGGACATATAAAGGACACGCTCTAAGCCCATTCTAGGCAGACAAGTCCTGTCTGAGATCATCTTAGACATTACATTGTCCAAAGAGAAAACAACACAGAGGTGTTCATGTATTTTGTTGTCGTTGTTGTTCGTATTTTTTTGTATGTGTATATGTACCATTCTTTCTTAAGGAATAAGGATAAAAAACATTCTCTAATTCAGGGATAAGCTCTTCACATCTTTCCATAGACTCAGAAAAGGTAGCTAAAAGACATCCATTCTTTTACCTTAATGTACCTATATGTCGAAATCCTCCAAAAAGGCCCAATTTCAGCAAACTTCTGGGATAAAGCAGTACCTATCCCAGACATACCTATTTGGTCCCCCTTCACCACCTATCCAGGACTTAAAATGAAATCAGCAACAATAAAAATAAAGTCACTGAGCAGGAGCCATATTTTTTTTAATGGGGAAAAATATCCAATGTTGCAAAAACCACAAATTGAATTATTCCACAAGCAGCCATGCATAGAGCAAACTCACTCTGCTGAAAAGATTACAGCAAAACAAAATTAAAAAACAAAACAAAACAAACAAAAAAACAAGGAGAGATATAGATCATACACAGGTACCTAAAAATCTGCCTTCTCTTGTGAGAGCTAGAAGAAAAGGCTTCTTTGGAGAGTCTGTTGGTTAACATCAAAGAAAAGTGTCATTACAGGATTATATTAACCTCACTGACAAAGCTCAATGAGAAGCAGGGAACATGCTAAGTGGTACTAACCTGATGTCATTTAGATATCCGTTCTGGCCAGTCTAGGTGAGGGGGAGAAAACGGAAAATAACTTATAAGAAAACAGCATGGCATAACCAAAAAGGGTGTCCATGATGCTATGAATACCCAAGGTCTTCAAACCAAGCTCACCCCCCAACAGGGAGAGAGGGAGCAGGGACAGGATGACCCACACCCACACACCCAACCTGACTTCTCACCTTTAACGGAAAAGAGCATTCAGCAGTTTTAGCCTTCCCACAGAGTGTTTAACAAGAGTGGTTGATAACGGTAGGGTATGGAAGAGAGAAGGAGGAAAGTATTAACCTAACTATTATTTCCTTTTTAGCTCTAAATTTATTCTCTCTAGAGGTAAGCTGAGCATAATAATTGGTGTGCTTGGTCCTGAAAAGTGTGTTCAAAGGAAGGTAAAAAGGGGACAAGAGAAAGAAGTTTAGTTTTTTTGGAAATCATCCTTAATGACTATCCAATTTCTTCTGTCTTCTACGTGGGCCAAAATGAAAGACATTCTGACCTGAGACCCAAGGAGAGTAAGAAATTGGGAAAGAAGGTATTTTTCAGAGCCTAGGAAAAATGAGAAAATAAAAGCCTAAAACATTCCTTTTGAGGATCATTTTCCGACAAAGCCACTGAGCTGAGTGAAGTGAGCATTACGGTGGGCTCCCAAGCCTTAGAAAAAGGTACCAAGAATGTCCAGCTGCTGAGCATAGGGGGCTCCATGAGGAGCAGAGCCTATGGGGGCAGCTCTCCCAGTACATAGCTCAGGCTGCAGAGAAGGCTGCAGCAGCAGCATTTCCATCCAAACACCCTTCTTGCCACTTCCCTTTCTTTTGGGACTGCATCTTTCTCCCTCCGCCCCAACCTACAACTCCACCCTTAACCAGCTCCCTTTGACTGGCCAGGTTCCTTCTTCTCCTCACGGGAATCTTTGGTGTATGATGGGCTTTGGTCATTTTTCCTTGTCTAGACCTTTTGAGATTTCTGATGCTTCTACCACAGCGAGGGTTGGGAAGCGCTGAAATGAAAGTGATAAATCTACAGGATTTAACAAAGAATACATATATTAGTAGAGGCTTGAGAGACTAGGGATCAGTGAAAAAAGGAGAGAAGAGCTAACTTAAATGACTTTTTTTTATGACTGTAGATATATATTCCAGTGTTGCTCATAATAAGCCCAAATACCCTATTAAAAGTTGCTTGCGTTTTCAGAATGGCTCTGCTAATGGCTGGCATGGCGGGACAGTCATTTTCCACATGTCAGTGAAGCAGAGGAGCACATCACAGATAGCTACGCTATGATGTGGTTGGAACTTAGTAGCCTAAAGAATGCAGAGCAGAGCAAGCTATTGAGACGGGTTTACCTCAGGGGTTAAGAGCTGGGCTCTGGACCCAGACAGCCTGAATTCAAACACCAGCTCTTTCACTAACTAGTGGTGTGATCTTAGGTTATTTAACCTCTCTATGCCTCAGTTTCTCATTTACAAAATGAGGGAAGTATAATCTACCTCATAGGCCTAGTGTGAGGATGAAATAAATTAATGTATGTAAAGAGCTAAAAACAGAGTCTGAAAGATAATAGGTACTATATAAACGTTTGCTATTAACATACACCATCCTGCTCTGTCCACAATTTAGGGTCATCACAGGCCACAGCCACATACAAATGATCTCTCTCCTCTCCTTCCACAAAATTAGTTTGCAGATAAAGGTAGAAAACCCTCTTTGGGCTATGGCTGGATAATGTGGAGGATTTTCTGACGCAGAGTAGAAGACTACATAAGGTAAGCAGATCCCTTCTCCTTGGATCTGCCAGAGGTTTGTTGTGTGTCTGTCCACAGTGAGGATCTTGGAACACTTAGGTCTCCTGAGACAACGGAACAAGTGCACAGGAGTTCAGTTTTCTAGAAATCAGAGACAATGTTTTTCTGAGTTAGGTGATGATGAGAAGATACGTATTTTTTTGCCTTGCTGAGGGAGGGGAGAGTGGGGAAATGCGGGGAGAGTGGGGAAATGGGAGGGGAGTGGTGTCCATCTAAGTATACTGGCTAGAACTGGCCATCTTTTGAAAACAAAGGGAGACTGGCTCTTCCTCCTTTGTTTGCTGAACTGACTGTAAGATTGTGCTGCTATCTGGATCACACATTTTCTGGAGATCTGTTTCTCTCTTGCCTTCCTGAGTGTCTCCTTTCAGTCCTGTTCAGTCTGGTGGGCAACAAGCACATCCGCTGGGGCCCACAGTCCTTAAGGAAACAGCCCGCCTGCCTCTCAGCCCACGGAGCCAGTCCTATCCTAAGAAGCAAGGTAAGAAATACAGGAAGAAAGAGACTTTCTGTTCAGTTGCAGACAGTAGGGAATAGTGAGTGTGAGTGTGGAATATGGAACTCAGAGAATGGATGCCACACCTGTGCTCTGACAATCACCAACACAGCCTAGAAGTGAGCCTGGCCACACAAGAGGAATGTGCAGGCCGTGTGGACATGAAGTTTTCCACTTAGAAGCAAAGATGCCTAAATCGGAGAATGGAGGGGAAAGAGAGTAAGTGGGAGGAGGGTTTGACAGGCAAGATTCAGGGCCCTTCCATAAGCCCTGCCAAAACCATTTCTATTTTCAGTCTAATCATATTAACCAAATTCAGCCACTCCATTTGTTCTCTTTGTATGCCATATGTAATTAACATAAAAAATAATACAAATAAAAATCTGCAGCTTCCTAATAAGCCACATTTAATTTTAGAGATCAAATCTGGGGCTGGCTGACGTTGGTTAAAAACAAAAAAAGAAAAAAACAACAAAACATTTATGGAGGGTTCATTCCATTCACAGTTCCAAAGATTAAGAGCTAAAAGCTATGGGCTGACAACTCTCAGAAGCTACACTTACCTCTCGGGCAAATATTCTCTCTCGGACCCTTTGATATTCCTCCTCTCTCTCTTCTATTGACTTGCTCCTCCTTCCATCCTGCAATGGAACTCTGATCTAGATCGATGAGCAGAATTAAGCTAGTTAAGTTCTCCTCGTACTGCAAGCTCACTGCACACCAGCAAGGAAGAGAAACCGGGAGAGTTTATAGTTGCCATCAAAAAAATGGAAAAAAAAAAGAAATAAAATTTCCAGTGTTGGACAGGTTTCACTGGGTACATCTGACCATGCAGTTTGGGAGATCAGATTTTCTGGATGGTTGGGGCCTCTCCATTTCCCCACTCCCCGCCCCGAGTATCAAGAACAACTGTGTATAAGGATTGGGTTGCTTCCACATGTAATCAGGTACCCTCCACTCTGTAAGGATCGAGAGAATAGCCCAGGGAATAAACAACATTGCTTTGGAGGGAAAGCAAGGGATAGGAGGAAGCTAGAGAGGGGGAAGAAACACATACTTAGCAGAGCTGAACGTAGAGAAGAGTTGTTACAGAACCAGTACCTGACATTATCCCTTTTTTAGTCACTGATACCACTGCCTGTAGACCCAGGTCACACACAGCTCAGCAAAGAGGGCCTTGGAAATGAAATCCCAAGGGTGAAGCTAAACTTAGAGCTTAAGCATTTTTTCCTCATCTTAACTACAGCTACTGGAGGGAGGGAAAGAAAGAGAACTTACAGAAATAGAGAAGAAAGAGAACAGAGCAACACAAAGGAAAGAGAAAGAAAAGGAGGATAGAACAGGAAGAAGGATGGACAAATAAAGGGACAGATAAATAAGGTGCAGTGGAGAGAGGGGAGAGACAGAGCGATAGAAAGGGGTCAGAAGGAAATGGAGGATAGAGAACCTTACACACTCTGAGAGCTGTAATGAGGGGACTAGAGGGGACGGCTGGGCAGCCCACACCTCTGGACAGCCTACCACTCAGCTCTCCATCACTATCTTTCCTCTCTCAGCTTGTGAGCTGTGAGCACTCTCCTGCGTAAGGGGGTTACAGAGTGTGCTTCTCCATACTGCTCTTGAAGGCAAGGCTCTCTGAGGGAGATAAGTCATCAAATGCATATTATCAGGTTATTGAAGATTCTGACCTTCAATCCAGAGGCTCTGAATGTTTCAGAAGAAGCAACCAAGGAGACTGCTGCTCTAGGCTGATCTTCCTGACCTCCACCAATCTCCAAAGGTAAGTATAGCTTCAGGAGTATCAACTTTTGACTAGATGTAGTTCTCACTAGCCTGAAGTACCTGAATTCTTCTAAATGTCCTTTTACAAATCCCATTCCAAGAAGACACAGGATTTCAAGGTGCGATATTGTCCTTAGCCCCTAGGACTGGTAAACCAGTGGCAGAATAGAAAGAGCCTAACTGGCTTGAGGTCAGGCAGAACATCAGCTCTGCTACCTCTGAGTCCTGTCACTTCGGGCAAGTAACTTAACGTCTTCTAGCTCAGTTTTCTTATATTTAAAGTGGGGCTAATAACCCCATCTAGACTGGGTTGCAGAGAGGATCAAAAGATATAATACAAAAAAAAAAGAGGTAATGCATATAATGTGTTTAGAACAGAGTCCAGTTCAGGGAAAAACACTCAATAAAATAGCAATTACTGTGTTTATTATTAATATCACAGTCAGAAAGTGAACAGAGCCTATCCTATGGTCAAGCCCGAAGCTGAGAGATGAAAAGCTCACAGTAGGGAGAGACTCCATTCCACCCCAATGTGCCTCTAGGCCTGAATAATTCCAGATCCACAGAAAAGGGGTTTTGGGAAAATGGAGAGAAGGGCATCAGGATGGAAAGGCTCTTTCTTGTTTTTTAAATTTTATTTATCTTTTTGTGTGTTTCATTGTTTTCAATCAGACCCAGCGTGTTTGTCCACAACAGATAACGGCACTTTTCTCAACAGGACTCCCTCAGATAAAGTAGCAAGCAGGAAAAGCCCTGGTCTCAATACCTTACAATATCCAAAGAAAATGAATTTTGACTCTGGAGGTAAGATATTATTATAGTTATCATTAATAAGCAAGACTAATTATTGACTTTACCCAGCCATGTTCTTTAAACTTATTCCTGGTTCTCTACTTAACCACCTTTGGAGGCCAAGCAGAAGCAAGCTAGATCTTAACCCCATACGTGGCTAGGAAAACTGACCCCCAAAACAATCACTTACTATCTGAAGGGTGAACTAGAAGTCAGGGCAAAAGCCAGGGCCATAAATGAAAGAATGGGGCAGACTTTTTACTTCTTATTCCCATAGGAGTGGATCAAAAGGGGATACCGCTTAATGTTCCCAGCATCAAAAGCTAAATTAACTCACTCACCTTGGTGGAAGAAGTTGGGAAAAGAAAAGGTAATGCAGAAAGGGATCAGAAACACCTTTACAAGTGGGTAAATTAGATAACAATTTTACCAGTTCAAGGCTAGCCCTGAGACAGAAGAGTGGAAGTGGGATAAAGTAGCTTTTGGTGGTTCCCAAAGAAATCTCTAACTATTAAAGAAAAAAAGAATGAAGCCATCAGCTGAATCAAGGCTGAAGCACGGAGGGACCTTGCTTTGTCCCCAGATGAAGTGGAGTTAGAAATCAGTGGCAGAACCAGGGAGTTCCAGGCCAAATAAGAAATCCCAGCAAACCTCAGCACCATGTCTCTCTGGGGCTAAGAGGGTGGCATTCAGTTCAACAAGTATAATTAGTCCTCAACATTAAGCCAAAGCCAACTCAGTATAGCTCAGTATATTTTTCCATACTAAGATATTTTGAGTTTTCTCCATCCCACAAAAATCCTTCTCCCCTCCCAGTTTCTCTTACTGCAGTCTCGCTCTATAGGCCCACCCCTCTCCATTCTTCACCTGGTTATCATCTCGGTCCATACTGGCATCATCTCTCTTGAGAATGAATCTCTGCTGAAATTCTGTATTCTTCTCATCCTTTATATGTTCTGAGAATCTCTGTTCAGGGCTGGAATTGGGAGAGAAATGTGGAAGGAAGAGAAGAAAGGCTCATCTTTTAGGAAGCAGACCTCCTAGGCCAGCTCTCTTAAATTCCACAACTCCCGCCCAGGGGATTCCTGAAGTCAGACGTCCAAAAAGTCACATAAAAGTTTTAATGAAATCCTCAGGGATTGTTCTTTATACATCTATTACTTATCTTCTTTCAAAGTTATTCCTGTCTTCTCACTAACAGTGAAGAGCGGCTGGGGCCAACCTTCACAAAACATCAGTGCCTCTGGAATCTATCTCCAAGGCCTCACAAAAAGTAGGAACTGATAATGTAACAGCACCCCCCAACAACAGACACACACTGTCCCCTCTCCAGAAGGAGAAATCTTGATCCTACACCTTCCTTTTCCACCCGAGGCCATCCCAGGAAAGTCTTTTCAGTCTGTTTTCCTCCCTTACATTCTTGTGTTACTGGTTTTGTTGATGATGACAGCTTTTCCAGTTTGATCAACATTGTGGTCCATTCCGAAATAGGCAGCCACCCGGTGTAATAGCATCCGGTGATATGAGGTCATCTGTGGGAACTTCTTGAACTGGTTGCTGAAGGGAGACCCAGGAGAAAAAAGTGAAATAAGTACAAATAACAGCAATAACAGCCAATTGTAATTTTTCTTATAAGCATCTAAAGTGGGTAATTTCTTAGGAGAAACAGACATATTATAAGGAAGATAGATGTTTACTCAGTGGTAACCAGAATGGTTCTCTCAGCTTTATCTACAGTATTTTGTAGATCCCTCTAACCCATTATCCTCATTAAGACTACTCCTTAAGCCCTAGGTCTCACCCACCTGGATGATATTCTACAAAGAAAAAGGGGAGAAACTTAAGAATAATGAAGTATGGGACAAGGGCTAGCTGTTGAAAACATAAATTCTTTTCAACTCAAGTCTAAACAATACTTTAAAAACCTCATTTAGTTTCAACACATACACTTTTTAATCCACTCTGATTACTTCTCCCCAGCTCCTTTTGGTTCCCAATAGTTACTACTTCAAAATTCAGACTTTAAGGGAACAATAAAAGAGGGATATCCTAAAATTGCACCTAAATTTCTTTCCAGTGCCCCTCCCCCACCTCTAAATGTGTGTTTCATTCAAGTAACTTACTTGTTGTCATTAATAAATTCCAGAATCTCCTGTTCTAATTTTAGCAGCATCATTCTGTCCCTGTTTAAAAAAGATTAAAACACAAGAAAACAAAAGGCAGCCCTCCCATAGACATTGAAAGCAAAGATTGAAAACAACCTGCTCACTACAGAAGCTGAAGGAAAGAGAGATCCAAACCCCAAGAGTGGATCAAAAATGCAAAGGCTGCTGAGCCTCACTGCCCTGTCTTATGTTACTTTACAAAAGAAAAAAAATCGGGTGGGAAAGGATAAATTGGGAGTTCGAGCTTTGCAGATACTAACTACTATATGCAAAACAGATAAAGAACAAATTTCTTCTGTATAGCACAGGGAACTATATTCAATATCTTGTAGTAACCTATAATGAAAAAGAATATGAAAACTAATATACATATGTATATGTATGACTGAAACATTACGGTGTACATGAAAAATTGACACAAATTGTAAATTGACTATACTACAATTTCAAAAAAAGGGAAAAAAGAAAAAAAATCAAGTATACTTTTTGCAGAGCCTCCTAATCATGTACCTTGTTTTCCTTATTAGGAACCTACTTCTGTTGGCAGTCATATTCATACAAACATACACTTTATACTTACAAATCTAATCATTATTCTATATTCCACCTGGTTATTTATAGAATTTCTAAACAATTATGATTTAGCTTATACACAAATCAATTATTTTTTCTGGCTTTTTAATTGTATTCCCAAGCCTTCTTATTTCTTTGTCTGCATTCTTCTTCCACAGAATTTTTCTCAACTCTTCTAAAAGCTCAATATGACGGTATTCTGAATCCCTCACAGAATATATAACTACATTGGAGAGAAATGGGGGTGGGGTGGGCATTCTAGATTCTAATAATGAAGAAATTCTGAGAAGCTATTTGGCCTCCTGGGTACTCTGCTGGTCCTGGTCCCTTTCCCCCTTCCATCAAATCGTATTATTACCTTGGGTTCTTTTTCAGTGTATTTACAAGAAATTCATGTAGGTCTATTCCAGTGGAGTCCGTATATTCTTGGCTGGAGTCTAGAACCACCACAATGAAATAAATTTAAAATAAATGAAACTGCCCTGCATGATATCTAACCCCAAGCAGAAGCCCACAACCTGATGAGGAGAGATGAGAACAGGAAAGAAGACTCAAACTTCAGGAGTTTCAGCTTAAAAATCAGAATGACTTTGATTTGCCAGTCCCTCAAAATTCCCCATGACAACGACAGGAAGTGGAATCTGGGTCACAGTGTTACACTCATATTACACTGAAAAGCCACCTTGCCATCAGTAAGTATTTACTGAATGCCCTGACCAAAACAAAGGTTTTTACTCTAGTTAAGGAAAACAAATTCTAGGTAAGAGCAGACAGAGCTGAATTTTCCAGAATCTCAGCAAATACACTCAAATGTTGATCATTTATATTTATGTATAAAATTTTAATCCTAAGGTTGCCTTTTTACTCTTAATTATCTTTTTTATGGACCATGTCTTTTTGCTACCTGCCAAAGAGTTTAAAAACAAAGAGAGCTTAGTAATTACATGCAAATCTACATTATTAAAAAAAAAAAAACTCCAAGCATCCCCAAAGCAAAATATAAATGGTAGCTAGAGAATCCGCTACCAGTGATGATCCATCACTGTTTACTCCAGAGCAAAAATAAAATCAAAAGTGACTATGATGTCCCTGTGGGTAGCCCAATGTTTATCGAGTAGCTCTCTGTGAGCCCTTAAGGCAGGGCTGGATAAAGCAGCAAAGAAAGTAACCTAGTTAGGTACCTCCCCAAACAGCCATGAAGTAGCAGGACACTATAAACTGTTGGGTCAATAAGGCCAGTGGGTACCAGGCTTCAAGATGGAAGGAAAGGGAACTGCAGAGCCAGGCCCCAGGACAGATGAGAAAGGGGAAAGTCTTCACCTCTAGACAGCATCTTCCTTGGAACCTTTTCTTTGTTTTTATCCTTGTCTTCCTTTTCAGAGACATCCTTTGTGGACTTCTCTTCCTCTTTGTCAGAGGGGCAGCTGATGTGCAATTGAATTATATCCTTGGACATGGGGAAAGAGAAATATAATCAAAGGAGAAAATAGTTAACTCTCCTGCAGCTTCCTTGAAATCTCAAAGAAGGCAAAAATCTTGGGATGGCAGCATTCTCTTACAGAAGAGAGTATTTTGTTAATTAAACTGTTTTAGCTTTTGTTCTACCAAAAGGGTTGAGCCCAAGCCTTTTCTGCCAATAATCACAGCCTATGTATAGAGAACTCAAGTTATGCCGGCTGTTCCTGGTGTAAAAATTGCAATGGAAATGGTTCTAACCACCAGAGGGAAAGGGTGTGGGTGGGAAAACAAGATCCAGCCCTGGAATCTTCTTGTCTGCATCATCCTGGGTGGCCCAGGTGTGAAGACCTATGCTTCATGCACTCCCCCGTGCCCTGCTTTACTGCATCAGCTTGCTTTGAAGCTCCTTCTACCCGATTTCCAAGCCCAGTGTTGATGCTGTACCACAGTTTAGCAAACTGCCAAACTCAAAAAGCTAGTCTTATACAGGACCTACCTGGGCTTCTAGTGGTCCATCAGTAAATGGTGCAGAGGACTCCTCACACACTGCAAGGCTGCGCACCAACTTCAGCTTAGAATTAGACTGAAAAAAATATGCATACACATTCCCTTGGTGGACATCCAGAAAGCTTTCGGCTGAATGAAGGGCATCCTCTTTGGCTCTGGTAGTTGCTGCTTCCATTAAATCGGGGTTTTTCCCCACCCCAAATATGGCTTATTCATCAGTTCCTGATTCACTTGAAAGATAATTCTCCAGCTTACAACAGCAGATATATGAAAACAAAAGGGCTACTTTGGACAGACGACAGGAAAACCAATTTGCTTAGCTCTCCTCTCACTCTAGCTCAGTGCTCCAGACTTAGAAGTTTATTGAGAACACACAGCAGCAGAGCCTAGTAGAAAGACTGGATTTAAGAGCCAGAAATCCTAGCTTCAACTCTGGCTTTTGTGCTTACGAGCTATGAGACCCTGAGCAAATTACCTGACCTCTCTGGGACTCTTTTTTTCTCAACAAAAATGGGATAAAAATGCTTACAGCGTTTTGTGAGAATTAGATTTACAAGTATGTAAACATATGTATCATAAATAGTGCCTAGCATACAGTAGACAATAAATGCTAAATGACTATAAACCTGAGGTGGCAAGGGTACAGAAAGAACTGTCTAAGAAAAAAATAAAAATAAAGAAACCTTTCTAACATTTGGGATTTAATGTGAAAATAAACCACTTGGTTTACTTCTATTGGCTGGAGAATCCCAAAAAGATCTGAAACCCACTTTACAAATCACTGCTCTCCTAGGGAGCTCCAACACCAAAAACTAGAATGATTCATTAAAAATCTACCTATAAACATTAACTGAAAGTTCTTAGAATAAAATCACAGTTTACAGTGAATACAAAAGCACAAAATATGACATGAGTGTTCTACGTACTGCAGTCTAGTGAAAAGAACTTGCCAATCTGAAGAACTGACTTCAAGCCTCGTTCTGCCCCTTACTGAATGTCCTCTGTCAAACTCACTCAAACTCTATAAGCCCAAGTTTCCTCATCTATAAAATGGAGGTAATAACTGTCCTACTTATTTTGAAAAGTTTGGAGGAAGTGAAGTAGCAAAGAACACCCTCTGTCTTAAACTTTAATGCCAAGCCCATCACTGTGGATTAGGCTATATACGGCAAGCCACAGAGCCAATTTATCATATACGTCATGGTCTTCTTCAACCCCAAGCTACACACTGGTTGGGACAATCCCAAATTCTGCCACTAGTTTTGCTGGGGGAAAGGGGTGGACATCGTTTATTGTTATTTCTGGTGACAATTCTTCCTAATGCAAGGCCAGTTTAATATTTTACAGTTCCCCAATTAAAATTAAAAAGATATCACACACTGACACCTGTAACACCCTGATAACACTCCTTAAAATGATCTGTGATGTGCTACTTTTATCATATAATGATTAAAAACAACATCTTCCTCTCTGCCCCAACCTAAAAAGTGAACCAAGCCAAAACAAAACAAAGCCTGTACTTTTAGGGCACCCAAAAATGTTGAATCACTTCTACTAATGGGGCAGAATTTATCTTAAAGAAAATTTGCATAGCAAAAAAAATGTTAGGGGTAAAAATAAGAGAGCTAGAGGTGAGTAGAGAAATTGGCATTATAGTGGAATTAGCACCAGTGTGCTCAGGCTTTGCTTATGGAAGGCTCTGGCTGGGTATCCTTTCAGGTATCGGAAGTAATGACTGAACTAAAGATAATGGAGAAGAATAAAGCCTGACCTTCCAAAAGGAAATCTGTGCATGTGCATTCGTGTTTGTGTGTATGTATGCATGGTCACAATTAGGGTATAAAGTGCAGGCAAAAAACTCTGTCTATACATAATCCAAATAAACTAGATTATCAGGGATAAGTCCATTTGTGTAGTGTACTACTAGTAATACTAGAAAATAAGCTATAGAGAAAGGGCTCTCACCTTGGCTCTTTTCCTGGCATGACCATGGTTGGATGTCCGCCTCTGTCAGAAGGGGATTAGACAATATTAAAGGTGGGAGAAATCAACACTTAAGTTAAAAGCAATACAAGTTTAAAGAGAAAAAGCACGAACTGTAAAACCATTACAACAGCCAAACTACGATAAGATTCTTTTGTTATGGTTGTCCCCTGTGCTACTACTCTAGCAACTGTAATGTGGAAGGGACCACAGACCATCTACAGACAAATCATCACTCACCATGAAAATAAAGAATAGGAAGATACTGACTGGTTGGCTTATTTCACAGATTAATAAAAATTACTTTTGGATAAGCCACAGATCCTCTCCTGATTAGGATGCTTCTGGAAATAACACTACTATAGCATGACAGAGTGATTTTTTCCCCCAGGCTTGCTCAAAGGAGCTCCTTCAGCTCATAATGGATATGAAATATGGCCTCTGACCATCGCTTAAAATAACGTCTTTATAGAGCAATGCATTCAGAGTACTAACTTAAGATACTCAGAAGACCTGACCCCATGGCTGCAAAATGGAATGAAGGCTCTTCTTGCCAACTGCCTACCTCCTGAATATGAGAATTCTTCCAATTCTAAGCTTCTGGTGGTGGCTTTTACAGCCTGTCTGGGTCAGGGATATAAGACAGGACAGGATAAAAAGAAGGGAGCATGAAGGATATGGACAAGACCTCCAGAGCAAAGGGAAGGACAGTGGGTAAGGAGTAGGGTAGAAGCTGAGGAAGATGAATGAGAGGCTGAGGTGGGACGAGGGGAAGAATGACTGATTAATGGTAAGATTTCTGAATAGCTGAGAAGTCAAAATGGGGGCTTTGGGGAAGAGGCTGGGTAGGGCTACGGGTGGCACTTAGGGCTTCTAAGATGTCTGCAATAGAACTCACTGCCACTGGGGTGTGGAGAAAACTGAGGCTGGTGGGTGGAGGAAAGGAAACAAGACAGAGGCAGAGAACCAGCATGGTCCTGGGTAGGTGGGATTTCTCTTTCCTTTGCTCTCTTCATTGATTACCAAACAACACTGCCACCATACAAAACTGAGAACTGCAAAGATGGATGAAAGAGTAAGAAATGGTGGATCTGGTCAGTGGTAAGATCAGTTACAGTAAGGGAAGAGTCATAGTTCAGGAATATGAAGCAGCATTTGTCACCATTTTTTCAAATAAGTAGTAACACACAAAAGACACAAACATTCAAGAGTTACAAGGATAGTATATAGAGTAGTAAGTGTCCTTTCACAACTGCTCCCCAGCTACCTGGATCTCTCCTAAGGATCAACTAGTATTGGATTTCTCGTAATCTTTCCAGAGATCTTTTAAGCATCTATAAGCTTATAGTAAATGTGAACACACATTTTTTTAAAAAAAACCAAATAGAAGTATATTGCAAACATTGCTCTGAAGTTTGCTTTTAAAGTTTTTTCCCACAAATATCATTCTTCAGAAGAGATACTGTTTTTCTTAACAGCTGCATAATATTGCATCGTGTGGCCACACCATAACTTATTTTACCAGTCCCTTACACTGTACCATTTAGGGTGTTTCTGATCTTTTGTTAGTATAAACAATGCTTCAGTCACATTGAATATATCATTATATATTGAATATATCTATAAATATGGTATATCTGGAGTCCAATTTAAAATTTTATAAAATATTGCCAAATTACACTTCAAAAAGTTGTACCAATTTATAACCCTACAAGCAACGTATGTCTGCTTATTTCCCAGAATGCAGTTTTCATTTAATAGTCAAACACATATTGAAAGCCTAATATGTATTAGGCACCATGCTAACTACTGGAGGACACAGAGATAAAAGACACAAACCTTGTCAAAAAGGAACTCATAATCCTGTTGGAGAAGCCAGACAAATAGACAATTACAACACAGTACATTTAGTGCACTACAGAGGTACTCATGGAATGCTACAGGAACTCAAGTGTCTAACTCAGACCTAGAAGTTCACAAACTTATGTGATCACAAATACTGGGTGCCTACAAGACCAAAGAGATACAGTGGTGAGCCTGAACTGACCTAATCCTGAGCTTATCATTCTGTGAAGGAGACAGACATTAATCAAAGAGTTACACAATATAGACTGCAATGTAAGGTTGTCAAGGAAGGCTCCCTGGAGAAAGACACATCTGGATTGAGTTTTGAAGGATAAATAGGTACTAGACAAACGTTGGCAGGGGGGCTTTGGGGGCTGGAGGAGGTCAGGGAAAGAATACCAAGGAGGGCATTCTAGGCAGAGAAAGTACGAACAAAAGCATGCTTTCCCCAAACATTTTATAACAGGGACCTATTTATAACAGGGACCAGGGAATCAGTTAATGCTGAAGCACAGGATGCCAGAGGTAGATGGATGGCAGGCAAGGGACTAGGTTATAATATGCCATGCTGACAAATGTGGGTTCTTAGCCTAAGGCAATGAGACACACAAAAAGTTTGAAGAGAATTAACACAGTCAGATCTTTATTTCATAACCATCTTTCTAAAGCAGTATGGTAGGTGAATCAGAAGGGATTACAAGTATAAAGGCAGAAAGGCTAGCCAGGAGGCCATACCCCAGCTGGTTATTTAAAGGACACATCTAAGTTCAGTATGTGTTGTCAGGGTTTGCCCACTCTGAACTAAATCTCAGAACCTGTCTTTTACAGCACTGTTTCCATGCAAAAGATGGTCTGAGTTACAACTGCTGATTCTAAGAATATATCTCACACAGTATAGTAATCGAATTCCCTTTTCCTCAACCTTTCTAGCTCTAGTTCCTAACAGGCACTCCCTTGACAGCGTCAGAAAGATTCTTGGGGAGACTTCCAAGGTGTGAGTTGGGGAAGGCAGGAGAAAGAGCAGAACTTTTAGTGCTATTGAAGGCGCACATTTGTAGAAGGGAGAGAGCTTCTGAACGGTGGCCAAAAAGAATGGAGATGTTGAAGAAGCAGCAGGAGCTCCAGTAGATGGCAGCAGCAGCTCCACCTGCTCTGGCAGCAGCAAAAGGAGTCAGAGGGGAGGCTGGCTCCCCTCCCAGTCTCCCACACAACCTTTTTGTATATCCAGGTGAAGATATTCTTAAACCAAGTGAGTATCCATAAGGCATATAAAACCTATAGTCATCCTTTCTTTTCTGCCTATCTTCAAGAAGTATATGCAACAGGAGTTCAGAACACCACTTAAAATAGTCTCCTGAGAATAGAGTAACTTGGATCCCAAAGTTCATTTAATTATCATCTTCCATATAACATGACAGCACATAATTAAACATTCAACACGTATCTGTCCTGAGGATTTAAAATGCATTGCTGGGTATAGTGGAGGCCAGAAGTATAGCTGGAACAGTGGCAGACTGTCTCCACAAACTCTGGAAGGATGGGTGGGGGGGTATGTGGAATGACAACTCACATGCAAAAGATAACAAAGAAAAGCAGCCAGGACAGAGATCTGGCTGACGGTAAGAGGGAAATAGCAGAAAAGTAGGCAGCTAGAGAACAAAATATTCCAGGGAGTTGTCTGATTTTACTTTATCCCTTTATGTTATAGCTGCTGTCTTAATCGTTAAGGACGACAAGGCCTAGGTGAATTGAATTGTCAAAAAGAATCATGCCTCAAGTTTCCAGACCCTCCAAAATGTTACTGCTATTACTCTTTAAACTAACTTAACTACAATTAGCAGTCTATCTCCTAGGTGTATTATAATAAAGATCAGTCTCACCCCTGGGCAGGAAGAAAAGGATTCATATAATTTGGGCTTGGGAAACAGCAAACTAGTAGTGACCACAGGGAAGAGAACTGGAACAGGTAGGCGAGAGGAGGCTCAGATCCAGGCTGGCTGGGCATCAGAGAAGAGCCCTGCAAGAAGCTGGGCTGGCCCTCTGCTGCCATCCTACCTGCACTGCAGTACGAATTTGGATGGAAAACAACATGGCAACCAACGAGTAAAATTCTTCTTACTTACATTTACCAAGTGGCAAGTTCAGAGACTATTTCTGACCCAGAAAATGCTGACTGCTTTAACACAACCAGGATAAGAATTTAACACTGTGTATAAAGCAAGGCAAATCTAGTTTTAAGAGTTTATTGTGTAAGCCATATACAATCAAGATTAAGACAGCAACTACATAAAAAGATGAATTAAAATCAGACAATGCTCTGAAATATTTTGTTCTCTAGCTGCCACTGTTCGAATATGTCTTTGTATACAGTTTATTTTTTGATAGTTAAAAAAATATCAAAATGTAGCAAGAACCAGTGTAACTCAGATCCAAACGGATTAGGGAGTTCATTCTGTTTTCTTTAGACATCATGTGGACTCTGACAGAAAGGGAAGGAGATATTTCCTGAGAGCTGAAGTTGGGTTTTTAGGGAGAATCACACATTTGTGTACGTGACTGACTTCCCAGAGATGCCCAATGCCCCTGTAGTGACAGTTCTACTCAGGCAGAAGGAGTGTGCGTATGATGCACTTTTAATCCTTACCTGTGTCTCCTGACGCAAACTGGTATCTTCACTCTCTTTCTCAGTTTCTTCCTTGCTTGGAGCCTTAGATATAAACTTGTTTTTGTTTACAGATTCTTCCACCAGTTTTTTTTCTGATTCTTTCATTATTTCCAGCGTCTCTTGAGTAGTGTTACTGCTAGACATCTTCTTCATAGAACGCAGCAGCCTCTATGGACTCCTGAAGAAACATCAGATGCATTACAGAAGGAGTGCGTCCAAACTCACCCGTCTGCAGGACTTGCCCCTCACAGCAACATCTGCAACAGCTTCCCTGGAGCTCAGTAGAGGCATCTTTTGACAAATGCTGCCCCTAGATTAATTTCACTAATTTTTTTTCACAAAAAGCTTTACTGAGGTAAAATAGATATAAACTGCATACATTTAAAATGTACAGTTAAATGAATTATGAAGCATGCATACACCTGGGAAACATCACCACAATCAAGACAGCACATTCATGACCTCCAAAAGTTTCCTCCTGCGCCTTGGTAAGCCCTTCCGCCTCCTCTCTACCAGCCCTAGCCAACCATTGATCTGTTGTCACTACAGATTAGTCTGTATTTTCTAGAATTTTACATCATACATTATCAGTTTACTCAGCATAATTATGTTGAGATTCACCATGATTCAGTTCTAAAGCAATGTAGTATGAGTCCCCTTGTCGCTTTATTTGCCCTCCCTTGTTCCCTACAGAAGTTTGCTCACATTTTCAGCTTGAGCACTCCACAGAGTTAACTCAGGAGACTCTCTTCAGAAAGAAGGAAAATATAAAGCTCTATTCAATACCAGAGAGGATCACTCTCCTTTCCCAAGGGAGAACTTTCAGAGCTACTACAAACCACAACATTGTTACCAGCTTCAAGTGTCTCCCCCATCAAAAAGCAGCAAAATCAGATAACGGTTACAGAATCTTAAATTCTTTCCTTTATCTTAAAGCAAGCTGAAAAGGCAAGAAGAGAACTTTGTCATCTGTCCTTCGAAAGACTGGGTTTCTCCCTGGGGGAAGAGAGAATTTCTCCTTTGCTACTCATTGTCTGGGTTCAGTCGCTCTAGTGCTTCCCAAAGACGCAGAGATTTGTGGTGTCAGGGTGACTAGCTCTTTATCATTTGCTATTGCTACCTGGGAAATGCTGTAACGAAGTCAACACACTAATTCAAGCACACACTCAGAAACAGAAATTAACGCTCCTTACAGAAGTTCATGTCCTCAACCACTGTTGAAGTCAAACACGCTTAGCTTCAACAATGGCTTGTAGAGGTTTCTCCTCACGTGGATTATAAACTGTACTTGAATTGTGAATATTTCTTTCCTTTCTTTAAAAAGATAAGACTGGAAACCCTCCCAGATGTCATGTCTATTCCATGTGACCCTAGAAACCAAGATAAACAATCCTTCAAGAAAACTGTCATACCAGATATTTTTTTCCTCCTTCAAATCAGTTTAGAGGATAAGACCCAAAATGCTCTTGAGAAGCATGGGTAACCTCATACTGGCATACACTTACCTCGCATAGGACTAGATAAATTCCCTTCAAAAGGCCAGAGAGTCATTCATACAATCATAGTCATACAGCTGAATTTAAAGATGAGAATTACTGGAAGAAACTGACTACAAAAGAAAATGGCTGGTTTTTAAAAATTAATTGATTCAGTACTTAGAGGCTTCTATAAAGAGCTATAACCTACAGAGCTCTACGGGCCATTAGCTGTACATGGGAACTACATACACACATATATTGGTTTTTCTTCCCTACGGGTAGATCAAGCCTTCGTTCTCTTCAGCTTGAAGGACAGTGAAACTCAGTACGTGCCTTTTCTATACATCTTGGCTGTGAAACGTCAATAAAGATCTGAAATGGAAGAGTTCTTAGACACAACCTCATGGAATCTCCTCTATCCCCCTCAAAGAAGAACTCCTTTCTGTAAGTTCTGAGAGGGGCCTGCATGCCTCTCCTGGAGAACTCCTAGGGCAGGATCATCTCACTATCCCTTTAATAGTCTTACCTGTTATATAGTTGCTTCCTATAATAAGCTATGAGCTGTTTCAGTCTTGATCCTTACTCTGCCTTAGAGTCACACAAAATTAAATTTACTTCTTTTACCATATGATAGACCTTCTATATTTTTCTTTTTCAGGCTTAAATAGTCTTAGATCACTCTGTCAAAGAGAGAAAGTGAAGGGAGGAGAGTAAAGGTATTGGATAAAGGTGGTCAAAAGCTACAAACTTCCAGTTATAAGGTAAGTAAGTTCTGGAGATGAAATACATTATGTGATGACTATAGTTAACAACGCTGTATGTATGGTGTATTTGAAAGTCGCTAAGAGAGTAAATCCAGAAGTTCTCATCACAAGAAAAAAAATTTTTTGTAACTATATGAGGAAATGGATGTTAACTAAACTTATTGCAGTAACCATTTCACAATATATGTATGTCAAATCATTAAGCAGAACTTATACAGAGCTATATTCAATTATATCTCAATAAAAAAAGAGAGATGATATAGAAAAATATAAAGCAGCTGGTTGTTGCTTTTTCCAGGATGGGCCTCAATTACCAAATAGATAATTTGTCAAATCAGAATGACAACTTTGCAGCCCCTCTTCATATGTAAGTCAGAAGAGGCTCAACTATCTGGACACCTAGACTAACTTCATGGTACCCAAGCACTGTTACTCAGCCAAAGCACTAATAAAAAAAACAACTAAACAAAACATGATCTTTTGTAACAGCCACCTGTGGAATGTGGTCACATATTCCAACTTAAGTTGTAGGGAGCCACATGGTTTCCTTCATTCACTGGGAAACAGGAAAACGTGAGCCTTAGGTTCTTTAAGGCATCCATAAAACAAACAGTGACTAATGCCCTCACTTTTAAGAATTTTGACAGTCATTTCCACTGAGACTACTGGCCTCTTAAAGGGCTGTATAAAACAAAGCAGTTCTTCCTCTGAGGAAAAAGGAAGCAGCAGTCAAGGGAAAAGCACAGCAGTGCACCTCACCAGCTACCCATCCAGAGCTCCCCTTGCTCCCACATTCAGTCTTGTCCAGATTTTCTTTTGGTGTGGCTGAGGACACGTGATAAGAGAAGGAAGGTAATCCTATCCCCGAGCCCTAGGAGGTGGATCTTAATTAACTAGACTAATCGTGGTAATTCTGTTTCCTTTTTGTGACTGGGTTAGGAAGGGGCAAGAGACTCGATCATCACCAGTAAGACACAAGAGACCTTGCTGGGTGGGTGGCTTTAAAGAGAAGCTTCCCATTGCGTTTAGGGAAAAAAAAAAAATGGCCACTAGAAAAATGGTTATCTGCTGAAGGCAGTCTTTTGTGCAGATGAAGCCTGGACTGCAACAACCTGCCAACAGATGGAAAGTGGTGGAGCAGAGAGATTAAGCCAGTAATGACAGGTCAGAGTATTACTATTCTAGAGTCAAGATCTATCAGGAGATATATGGAGCTCAAAACTGTATTTCTTGAGCTAAGGCTCTCTTTTGTTCTCTAAAATGACCTTTAACTACAGTCATTTCCAGCCCTGCAATCTAATGCAGAAGCCTCTCCTTATTCTTGGGGCATAATAATTCCTGGAAACTATTTTTTCTGGGCCCAAACAAAGACAAAAGTTGTAGCCAACGGACAAGACAATTTATTAGGAGGGAAAAAATAGTTTAAGGAACAAGAATAAAGCCAGCAGATGAGGGTTAAAAGGCAGAGAAGTAATTTCCACTCTGGATGGTTTACTTAGTACAATATAGAGAGGAAATTAAGGATTCAGGAATTCTTTGGTGGGAGAAGAAAAAACAAACTATTTCATACGTAACTTGACTAGAACAAAGCAAGACAAGAAGCTCCCGGGAGAGCCTAGATGTGTGCTTCCCTCCAACCTACCTGTGCACATTGTACCTTTCATCTGGGCAAAAAGCACAATTTTAAGGCAGAGTGTCTCCTGAGGATAATCAGTGCCTTAAAGCTGCGCAGAGGGGACTGTGAGAGCAGAGGGCAAAGAGAGGGAGTGAGGAAATAGGATGATACAGGGGAGGATGACTGGGAGCCAAGATCTGGCAATTTTTTCAGGGAGAATACTGCATATTCCCTATACATTTTTTGACTGCCAAGGTAAGTACCTTCCAGCGCACAGTGAGACTATATATCCTTCCATCAACGCTATAAACAACTTTCTAGGCATTGTACCAAAAAGAATATATTATGCAGGGGACACCCAGAGACAGTAGGGTAGTTTCATTTTCTCTCTTTTCATCCATGGCCAAGTAGAGAGAACACAAGCAAGAAGACAATAGCTAGAGGCTAAAAATTCTGACTTACCCTGTGGTGAAATCCCTGTAAACTTTCCAGTCCTTTTCTAATTTATATGTCAAGAGTAAATTACTCCTAAATTGATACTCATATTAAGAAAATATTTAAAATCTAGGGCCTCAGGAGAATGGATAAACTGTGGTATATTCGTATAATAGAATACTAGTCAACAATTAAAGACTGAACTTTTGGTGTCTGCTTTCCCCTGAGGACACAAGATCAAGTAAGAGGATCTATTCTTGAGCCCTAGGAGGTGACTCTTTATTAGTTAGGCCAACACTGGTAATTCTGTTTCCTTTCTGTGATTTGTTTGAGAAGAAACTAGTGATTCAGTTATCACCAGTGAGACATGATGGGACCATGCTGGATATATGCTGACGTACACAAAAACATGGATGGATCTCAAAACTGTATGGTAAGTAGAAGAAAGTGATCTCCTTCCCAAAAATCATGTACTATATTAAGTCCATTTATATGAAATTCAAAAACGGGCAAAACTAACCTACAGTGGTTTAAATTAGAAAGTGGTTGCTTAAGGTTTGGGGGTAAAAGATTGAAAAGAGACAAAAGGGATCCTTTAGGAGTGATGGAAATATTCTATTTTGTTTGGGGTAGCGGTTACATGGGTGTATACAACTGTCAAAACTTATTAACTGATTAAGATTTGTGCATTTTATTGTATGTTACTTAAACACACACACATACAGAAAAAAATCCCCTTAGGAGTCAATACAGTGGGGACAAAACATCCATAGGGTTAAAATGACAGGTTGAAAACAAAACAAAACTGTCTAGGTGCTCAGGATGGCAAGCCAATTCTTACACTCTCAGACACTGGAGTTAGGAGAAAAAGAAAAAGCATTAGTGG